AGCCAATCCATTCCGAGGATTGCATCAAACTCGATCATACTCAGCGGTACGAAATCACACGTCAAGTTCTGTCCCTCCACCTCCACCTCACACGATGGATAGTGGTTATCTCTCTCGATATCATCCCCTAGAGGCGTGGACACCAATAGGGTTTGAGTCATCGGTACAAGTGGTCCGTTGAATCCGCTGGCGAACGCCTCACTCACAAATGATCGTTGCGCCCCGGTATCAATAAGGATCCTTGCGTCTCTCCCGTTTATCTTTAGTATTCCTACATTCATAAGTAATGTAAATCACACTATCTAATTAATAGGCTTGTTTCTTAAGTCGTAGAGTATGTTGGTCGCGGTTCGGGTGGGGTCCGTTTGACACCCGTCCGAAAATTCCCGGTTTCTAACCCTTAGAACCGTTCTGGGACCGACCCTGGTGAAAGCCGGCCGCTTTCCACGAAAGCCGGCCGGTTTTCGACTGCGAGAATAATTCTCAGTATTTAATCACGAAAGCCGGGCGGCTTTTACGAAAGCCGGGCGGTTTTCGTCGCCGTAGTTTTTATTCAGGGAATGGTTTCGAAGCCGGCCGGTTTACACGAAACCCGGTCGGGTTTCAGCAGCGCAGGAATCCCTAGGCCCGACGAAAGCCGGGCGGCTTTCGCCAAAGCCGGTTGGCTTTCAGCTGTGAGAAAATTCCCAAGTCAGGCATTTATGAAAGCCGGCCGGTCTTTACAAAAGCCGGCCGGTTTTTGGTTGCGAGGATTTTCCTGATTAAATGTTGACGAAAGCCGGGCAGCTTTTGGTGGAAACCGGTCGGCATTCGTCGCCGCAGCATTTTCCCAATAATTCAAGACAAAAGCCGGGCGGCTTTCGTCAAATGTCGGGCGGCATTCGCCCAGGGCGGGGATTTTTCCTCCCCTTTTCCCAACAATCCCGACCAAACCGTCGGGGTTACAAATTTTGCACCTTACAAACACTCCTATTGCATACAATGGAGTAATATCATGAGTTTAAGGTCTTACCCGCCACGGAGTCCGGGTTAGCACGTGCGTCCGCCTCCGTCATCGCATAAACTCTAGCTTGAGTTCTTCCTTGATTCACGGACGGCGCATTGCTCGTGCTCGCTCCCCCTGGCCCACACTGGCATGAGATGCTCCGGCCCGGTTCCTACTTGCCGTGGTAGCGCCGCTTGGTCCTGACCCCCGGTTCCCACCAAGTTGAGGGCAGTTTGGCTTAATATGCCCTGTACTCCCGCATTGGTAGCACCGTGGTGGATCACGACACTTACCGGCGTGGTTCCTGTTGCAATTCCTGCACCTGGGCGTCGTTGGGGCTTGTGAGCCCGAGTAGTGCCCGCTCGTGGCCGGGTTTCCCTTGGATGGTGCTGCCGGTGCCCTGAACGATCCACCTCCCCCATGGTTCCCCTTCTTGTTGGGACCTTGGGGGCCATGGCTTTCCCACTTTCTTTTCTTAGCCTCTTCGGCATCTCTCTTCTTCCTCTCCTCCCATTGCTTTTCTCCTTTCAACCCTTGGGCGACCACTTGGCTGAAAGTCATGTTGGGCAATTGAGTTGCCCTGTCGCGTATCTCCAAGTCCAAGGCCTCCCAAAAGTGATTCACCATTCGGTTTTCATCACAAGCATACCCCGGTATGTGATCAGCAAGGTCTCTAAACTTGTTCTCAAGTTCTTTCACCGTCATGTTACCACCTTGGGTTAGGAGGGTGTATTCCCTCACCTTGGCGTTTGCTTCGAAGTCGGAGTAGTACTGGGCAAAGAATTCTTGTCGAAAATCCTCCCATGTAACAGTTCCGCCATACTTACCCTTGGTTCCATCCCACCATTTGGATGCCAACCCTTCGAGTAACCTTACCGCGATTCTCAGTTTAAAATCGGGGGTGAGCTGCATGTCAAGGGCTGCCTCGTTCAGCATCTTGATCCACTGCGCGGCAACCGAGATGTCTCCCGTCCCGTCGAACGGTTTGCACCCTAAGTCCCTCGCCTCGTTGATGTATTTGGAGATCCTTATGGCTGGACCTCCATCGCCCCGACTTCCATGCGCTTCCACATGGGTTCTCGAATCGCAATAGCTCCTCCCTCTTGAAGCCCCGCCCAAAGGTTGCCCTGCACGGTGCCTTCGGCGTGCCCTCCTTTCTTCGCGCTCCCGATGATACTGTTGGAGCAGCGCTTCGTTCCTGGCCAAGGAGCCACTTTCCTCCTCATCACTCACATCATAATCATTCTCTTCGTAAGGGGTCTCAACTGGCTCAGTCCCCGGCTGGTAGGTTGAGTCCTCGTAGGACCAATAGGTCTCACTTTCGGTATCGACGTGGCCATCGCTCACGGTTTGACGTTGGCCTCCACGGCCCCTTCCTCTTGATCCCCTAGAGGACCCCCGGCTACCGCGCTCGGACCCACCCGGTGCACGGCCCAACGGGTTCCTTCTAGTGATCCTTCCAACTGGTTCCATTTCTGAAAGAAATTAGAATGAGTCATTAGACTCGTATCGAATGTCAAATGACGGACGGGTACTTAAAGACATCCTTTGGCTCAAATCACCGCCATACCAATTGTTAAGGGTACCATCTTAACAATTAGAGGCATTGCAACTCAAGTACCAAAAGTTCTATAAGTACAAAACCTTATGCTCATGGTTTTCAAATTCATTTTCAAAAAGAATTTTGAAGCTTCATTATGATGTTTACGAACCTGGCTCTGATACCAATTAAATTGTCACGCCCCGGACCTAGCCGGACACGTCAACAACCCGCCGTACAGTACGAATAGTCAACCGCAGTCCAACTCATCCATACTATACAAGGCGTCATGAATATCATTCACACATAGTACATCCATAAACAAACATAATGTAAATCATTCATTTAAAACAGCGGAAACAACATTACAAGTGTTCAAGCCACACTTGGCAAACATGGGTATACAAACCCCCGAAATGTATATTCAGAAAATAATATCCATGAGCATTATTCATATTGTTTTCAAAACAAGAACGGAAGAAGCACGAACCAAGTCTTCTTCTCAGAAACTTCCCGAAACAGCGGCTGGTAGTAGCAACCTTCAAGTTCTACCTGAAACTGTGAGGTGGCCTCCCCCGTGAAGGGGAGGTCAGTACTTGGAAGCATTTGACAAGTACAATGACAACTATACTAAGTATAATCGAAGTTTAAATCTCTGAGGCCCTCAATCTAGAGCATTATTACATTATAGTTAATCCTTTCATTTAGTATCAATTCATCATTATTTACTACGGTCTAGAGCCCAGCTCATAATCACCGTTATCTACTACGGTCTAGAGCCCCGCTCATAATCACCGTCATCTACCATGGTCCAGAGCCCAGCTCATAATCACCGTCATCTACTACGGTCTAGAGCCCAGCCCATAATCACCGTTATCTACATCGGTCTCGAGCCCGGCTCATAATCACCGATTCTTTATAATTCAAATTCTTAGGATCTAATTCATCCATTTTTCAACTAACATTTCCAACTAATATCTCAATGCTAGTTATTTATTTATTTCAATATAATTCTTCCTTCATGCATGATTGGCCTTAATATCAAATATCACTTTTATACTTTCATGGTTTCTCCTCATGGTATCAAAGTATACTATCTCAAATGAAATTCATGGTTGATACAACCATCATACACTCATATTCATAACATCTAAACATACACAATTTATTCATAAATTTGTATATCATGCATACTATACTTATAATCAATAGTAGTTTTATTTTGGCATTATTAACCATTAACAATTCATGCACATCACATTTGTATTCACTTAGGAAATCCCATGAAATTAACCCAAAGATTATAAGCAACATAGTCGGTCATCCTCACCTTAATTAAGCTTAAGCGCGTTCTACGCTTCTCGATTGAACTTTGACTAATTTCGGCGAACTTTGACCAACTCCGACGAAACTCCGGCGAAGCTCAAAAATACTTTAAATCAAGTTCCTCAATTTCCACATTTTCCTACACCTTTTTCCTTCTCCAAGCACTCCTCTTTGGATCCTCTATCTTGAGCTCGAATTTGGGTGTGAAATGATGAATTTCAGAGCTCCTCCTTGCTATTCTTGGGTGTTGCTAAGAGTGGGTGGAGGTGGTGAGGTGAGAGGGGTGGTTTTTGTCTCATTTAGACAAATGAGTGAAGGGAGGGGGTCTACCAAATGTCAAAGGGTGTCTCCCCCATCCTATCAATTGTTATTCAGCCAACTTAGCACTCATCCAGGCCCCAAGGGTGGACAAATTTGTGGGGTGGCCCCCACCCATGTGGGAGGTCATCCTAATTTGTCCCAAAGTGTACAATTTGCACCGAAAGTTGTATTTTCCGGACTGTTTTAGATATATTTTATTTTATCGGGTTAAATAAATATATTACGTGTTCTTAATCATTATAACATTTAGAATGAATATGCATTCCCCAACTTTAATTTATAAATCTCCAAAATCCACTTTCGGGCTTTTATCTGATAAATTTATCGATACCGGTATTTGGGCCTCTATTGACCGATCGGTCAACTCTGGGCCTTTCCATGGCCCAAATGAAGTATCCACCATCTATAAATATTTTCTAGACCCAGATGAATATAATATGTGGTCCCGATAATATCGGGCGGTCCCCACTCTCGATGTGGGCCCCACGTGCATTTTACTATTCACGCGAAAAAATTAATACACATTCACAACCTCGTAAATTCACTAAAAATTTCATAGGGTTCAATGAATTATTCGCTTAAAGATAAATACATTTGGGGACGGTGTTACAAGTTCCATATGACTCAAAGTCAAAAGGTGTTAAATAATCTAATTTATTTAGCGTTGCTATTCTTGTTTCATTAATTTGACCAAGTTTGCAATGTCATAGATAGGTAGTAATTTTTCTGATTACTTAATCGAGATCCTTTTATTTTATTCATTTAATATCTAATATGTCGATTGATAATTAACCATTCATAAGAAAAGCATTTCCACAACAACACCATTTTATGAAAATAACAATTATTATTAGCAAAATGGAAATAGAAATTTTTTAATGTCTAACATATGAATGGAAATAATCTTCTTGGTAATAGAAGGAATAAAATAACAATTATTTAATTCTAATCTAAAACCACCGGGCAAATCTAAACTATAAGATCTTATCACGTTCAGCAACAACTTTTGCTCCAGCCTTCACGCGTAGGTCAATTTTACCCAGTCCAACTGCTACACTGCTTCTCAGGCTTCTGCACATTTTTACAAATGTGTAAGCTATAAGTTGTATCTAATACTTTAACAATGAGAGTTAGTTATAGACATATTTATTTAATGATAAAAATACCTGAGCTTGAAGCACCTGGTGCTTTGGCTAGATTAGCCTTATACAGCTCACAATCTCTCTTCCAATGTCCCTTTTCTTTGCAGTAGAGACAAACATCCTTTGCAACCTTTGGCTTCATATGACCTTCACCTTTAGGCTTCAGAGCTGTAGGAGTAGGTCCAACCTTACCTTTCTTCTTTTGCTTATTCTTGTTCTTAGAACGAGACTTATCATTAGAGCTTACCATAACAACAGTCTTTCCTTTAGAGGTTGAGGCTTCATAAGACTTGAGCATGTTATGGAGTTCAGGCATGGTCGCTTTCGTTTTGTTCAAATTATAATTCACAATGAAGTTAGTAAATGAACTCGGAAGCGAATATAGGATGATAGCAGCTGAGACACGATCCTCAAACTTAATTCCGGTGGTAGCAACTCTTTCAATTAAGCCAATCATTTTGAGGACGTGCTCAGACACGTTGCCACCCTCTTGAAGCCTACACTTGAAAATGTCTGTTAGAAGTTCATACTCTAGAGTCCGACTCTCTGAATCAAACAGACTTTTCAAGTGTTTAAGCATCTCGAAGGCGCTCATCCTATCGTGTTGCCTTTGCAACTCCATAGACATTGCAGCCAACATAACACATTGCACAGTTTTAGCATCAGTAACGTGTTTCTCTCGAGCAGTCAGGTCAAACGTGGCAAACTCGGGAGAGTTAGCATCAGGAATCTTGGGTACCGGCGTGTCTAACACATACTCAATATTTTCTTGTCTAAGAACTAAACGCACATTTCTTTCCCAGTCCAGAAAGTTTGGTCCAGTAAGCTTGCATGTATCCAAGATACTTCTCAATGATAAATTCGACATTCCTAAAAGCCTAAAGAAGTTCAAATAGAACGGAATTAAAATCATATATTAATTCCTATGATCACATCTAGTTAACTAAATAATATGGACTTTTAATTATTTAGCTCCCACTATTTTGCATGCTCTTTGACCCCAATAAAAAGAACATGGAATGTTTTACAATCATAGTGGCCAAAATCCTCATTCATACTATTACAGTACCAACTTGGGCTGATCACTGCAATAATATAATGGGTAGGTCCCTAGACCAATTGCGTCCAAGCAACTTTTAGTTGATCAATTATTAAATTGATCGACATCCCTAAATTAACACTGACGCTTGGGCGACTCGAGCTAATTTAAGTAAGTCAAAACCATCACACGATCACAAACATATGTATCTATAAATTAGTTCTATATTTTTTCGAATGGGATAAACACTTGGGTGAAATATTCTTCAACGAAAAAATATTTCTACTAATTTAATTATGATGGGTGATGTCGTTATCCCAGATAAGACTTAAATTTTAATTTATGGGGAACATTTAGCGGAGTATTAAATTGTTTAATCAAGATGCTAATAACATATTATCAAATAATATGTTAACGAGATCTAACTCGGGCAGATAATTTAAAGAATGCAATATAAATCTAATTTATAAACAGATACGATTATCATATAACTAATTAAGCATGCTTAAAAATAATAATACAATCATGGTAAACGAAATTCATAGAAACATGATCTAATCTCATCTCATCTCATTAGAATTAAGTCACGTTAGTGTTATGTAGTGGTACTTCCAAAATTTAAATAATCAAATTATTAGCCTGCATCAAGTCTTCTTCAAAGAGACTTAAAAGCAAACTCAACTTCTAAGGGTTCTATGCGGATCGAACTTACCTCAAACAAAGTCCCATTTAACTTGCAATTTCTAAAATTTTGCAATAAGCCCTTAGGTTAAATCTAATTCACCAAAAGAACCCCAAACAACCCAAACAACCCAAGGTCAAAACTGAAAACAGCCACGGGAAAAGAGAAAAAAAAAAACGCCAGACGATTCGAATGCGATGTAATCGCTGAAAACAAGCATTGATAACCGAATCTCACTGCCCGAGGGTTGTTCTTCATCGTCTCCAACAAAATCGTATTTATACGGAGCGTTATCATCCTAATTAAGCGCATAATAACTCTACTAAGTACTCTACTAATTATAAGTCCAAAGTAAAACATAACATTAACTTAATAATAATAAATAAAGTCAGCGATTTATCTGTCAAGACGACAGAATTCAGTAGAAAACTCAGCCTTTAGCGAGATGGGCTCGAGCGATTTAGCTTTCGGCCCAGAAGCTGAAGGAGGAGGGGGTATAGGTATAGTACAAGTCGTCATGTTAGCCGAGCTGGGTACAGGAGGAAGTGGAGGTAGCATTTTTCTCTTCTTGGAGGTCAAGCCTAATAACTCGGTCAGATTGAGAGCTTTACGAACCACAGATGAGGACGAAGTAGCTAAAAATGAACATCAATAACATGTTACACATGGGGAAGAAAACCCGGGATATGCAGCAAAGTAAAGAGGGAACTTACCAGCGACAGAAGACACAGGAGTGACTATGACAGGAACACGTGATGCGGAGGCACAGTCATCGGTAGCCCGAGTGGATCGCCTCAAACCAATTTGAACAGACGGAACATACCAGCAACCCTTAGACAGTCAAAGAAAGAACTCCCAGGTTCACCCAATGTAGACCTTTCAACGAAGAAAAGCTTAGCCAGCCAGCCTCTGTCATTAGCATTGTCAATACCCAAGATTAGGGATTCCATTCAAGGCTTGATTGTCAGTATGAATCTTCCTTTTCCCGACGACCGGAGATCATAGGTGGAACTCGGATCTTCACAGGAGAAACGTAAATCTTTCTTCTCAATAAGAAATTCCAAATGAGCGAAGAAGTCTCCAAGTTTGAGGCATGATCTGGCAGGGAGAAACTTTGGCAAGTGTGAGAAAACCTCTTACCAATTCGGAGAAGGGAAAACGAACGCCAAGCTTCTCAAACGGGTATTGATAAAAGCAAACCCATCCAGGGAAAATCCAGTCGACCCGTTCGCCACGTTGGGGATAGCGGATTCTTGCCGTAACGAGGAAACCATATGACGATTCGATTTCTTCTTTATCTTTAACGCGCAAATCACGGGGTCTGAGATTCTTGGCTTCAAAGACACCTTGACTTTTGAAAACGGCCGGCTCCATGGTAGCAGAGAAGTAGGCGTGGATACTGGTAGTGCAGGGAGTAACAGCAAATGCGAAAGAGTGAAGAAAGAGAGTAAAGAAGAAGAGACTAAGGCTGCAATGAAGGTTCCCGCTGAACGAGGAGTTTGACAGTTGATGGGAAAAGTAAAATGCGCAGGAAGAAGAAAGATTTTGAATTCACAATGATGACACTCGTTACATATTCGACCCGCCATCAATGTGAATGGGCCGGCCAAGTGGGTTGGTTAATGGCAAATGTTGGGCTCAGGGAGATAATTATTACTTGGGCCAAAAGGATGTGAATTAATGGTAAAATGTTTAGCCCAGGCGGATAGCTCAAGCAGCATCTATTATAATCTAAAAGCAAAATGTTTTTGGAGTTCCATTCCCGGTCAAAACTGTCAACATCAAGTGAGTCATACATTTAATTTGTTAAAAAATATAAAATAAGAAATTTGTCCCAACATTGAGCTTGTGTGAGATTTCTGTAACGGGTAACACTTGCATTTTTAATCTCATGTTAACAGTGCTCCCTCCAAGTTTTAAGCTGTTTCTATTGGGAGATGTTGAGGTGTAAAAAGTGATTTAGATTTTCACATTTCTTGATACAGTGATGATGATTACATGTCAATTCTAACAACACATAAGGATAAAAATGAATATAAAAAGGAAGAAATATCTAGAGAAAGATTTAAGAGCCCATGCTCCCACATGCTCTAGGGAATTTGCATGCACCATTGGACAAGATTTTTTAGAAGATCCTGCAGATAAAAATATATATGAATAAATAAATACGAAGTGCTGAGAGTTGTGCAAAATTTTATGCGTGTGGTATACTCATTCACCTTTTCTGACAGATTCAACGGGTTGCTCATACTACATTACATTTTTAGGCAACCAGGTTTTTTAGTGCAAATCTATCAAGACTTTTCTTTATTCTTTAGTTAATTTTCTGACTTAGATTAATTGATAGTATATTGGATATAAATACATATCTTGATCCCATTGTTTCATCGCACTTCGTTCCTCAACACAGGCCACCTACAAAATATTCTAACATAATGGTTGTCTCTAATATGCAGTTCTAAGGTAAGCACTCCCTTTGTTTATGTTGCTATATCCTGTAATGTTATTATTTTAACTCAAGTGTATAAATTTGTAGGTATAACAGGGGCGGATCTAGTAAGCTCATAGGGGGGGCAGCTGCCCCCAATAAAGTCCAATCAGTCCTTGTAATTTGTTAATAAATTTTAGAAGCTCACCTATTTGCCCCCAATAAGAAAAATGGATTGCCCCCTATAACTTGAGAGCCGAGCCTTCTCCTTTAATGCAAAAACAACCTTGGAGTTAGAGACACTAGATTCCAAGACAGTACGTGCGTGGCTGAGCAGCAAGACTCCAACTCTCTATGTTAGATTAATAAATCAATTAAATGTTAGGTTTAGAGCTATGCCGTTTTAGTTGCCTAGTTTAGTTACGTTGTTTAATCTTTTGTATGTATTCATTGTATTGTTTACTTGTTTAAGGTCATACATTAATTTTTAATTTTTATATAAATATAAATACTACGTATTAAATAAGGTTATTAAACTTATTTTCATTGTTTCAAAAAAAACTTATTTTCATCAATTAGGAAATTTTGAGAAGGATCAATTAGATTTATTTAAATTGATGAGTTAGTGGAATAGTTAGAAATTCTAACATAGAAAATGTGATTTAATAAGTTAGAAATTCTAAATGCAAACAGTATGTTACTTCAGGTAATTAAATAAAGTGTATTGATGTATTCAAAAAAGTTATACCCTCTCTGTCCCATAGCATTCTTCTCACTTACCATTTGGGGATGTCTCAAAAAATTCATCCAATTTATCTTTTTGAAAAATTTTGTGTGCTCGATATTCATTTACTTTTTTCTTACTCAACCACAATCATATATTTTCACTTTATTCTCGCTTTCATAAACTCGGATTCAAGTCAAACAGGAAAAAATTTTATGGGACGATGGGAGTATTTAATTTCTCTTCTTTTGCATACTCAATACTAAATACTAGACAATCGAAATTTTACTGTTTCAAATATTGCTTCTCAATGTTCTCAATGTTTTCTTAAAATAGTGAAGACTAATTTGCGTAATAGAATTGGCGATAAGTTTTTGAGTTTTTGTCTAATTTGTTTTATTGAGAAGGATGTGTTTGAAATTATTATACTTAAAATTTTAATGAATCCCTTCAAAAAGATGAAAACTCAGTGCCAACAATTGTACTGTGGATGTATTTTGTTAAAACTTTGTTAGTGTAATGTTACATTAATACTTTATTAATTTTTTAATTTTCAAATGTTGTTTTTATTTACCCTGCCTAGCTGCCCCCAATAAATTATGATCCTGGATCCGCCACTGAGGTATAAGGTCAATGTGAGAGTCGTGTAAGCAACCACCCAATCTTCATTTCTGCCATGGGACAAAGAGGTATCCAATATGATCAGGAGGTCCGCAGCTTTCCTCAAGGATCAGATATCAAAGTTATTTATTTCCTTGCTTAGTGTTTTTTACATGTTTAATGTTAATTTGTGCTTATCATGCCTAAATGTTGATTACAGAAAAACATTGGATCACATTACTTTCCTACGGAAATTAAAGTGCTCATAAATACCAAAGCTTATGAAAATTGCTTTTCACGTATTCATTTATAGGTGCAAATACAACCAACCATTTATAGGTGAAAATTGATTTTTAATACAGGTCATTGTTTTGTTAAGCATAGTGAATATAGGTGCAAATACAACCAATTATTTGAAATAATAATGGTTATTGGGGGGGGGGGGGGGGGGCATACCTGGAAATTACTTATGCTGCTCTTCATTTCCTACATTTATAGTTACATATTGGTGAAGAACAAAATACAATGAAATTGGTATCCAAGTACCTGCATTTTCAAAGGTTTTACAAAGTAAGCAACAATGATACCAAAGTTATTCTCTAGAGCTTTCATTTTTAAGCACACTAATGTATTGTAACCCTATGTTCTATTCTCTCTTACATTTAGCTTTATGTATATGTTCATTTTGGTTTTGGCAGTGTGCAAAAAAATAATACCAGTACAGGAAAAAGATATCCATTGAAGGGCCATTTGTACAACTCAAAATTCATCCGAAGGATCCACTTTCATGATCTTTTGTTGTAAACAAATGAGTTTAAAATTTTACCTTTCATAGGATTTACTAAGTCTATGTTTGTGTGAGGACTTATGCAGTCTTATATATGTTATGCACCAACTAACATGATACCTGCATTTTCAAGAACAATTAACAAATATATACTAATCTGTACAAAATAGAAATGGTATGCTATGTTCTATTTTTTCAGAAATTCTATACCATTTAAGTGCTAGATCAGACGTTTGTTCAACCATACATCTATTGTGTTATTGTTCCTGATAGTTCGTGGATGAAGAGTATCATATATAACAGTGGATCAATGCATCTTAAGCTTAATATATAAGGAGAAACATGGAGACTTAATAAAATATTCAAGATTATTTTGTTATAGTCATAACTATTGATTCACAAAAGAGTATAAAATAGTGTATTAAACATCTTTTTGCATGTATATCATAGATCGATACAAACCTGTAAATTTTAGACAAAGAAAGAACATATTCCATCACTTCTCACATAGAAAATATAGTTAAGTTGTATTCTAAAGGATCTTATCTTAAAATATTTATCAAAACAATTTCCGGAAACTGACAATTATACAAACACAAAATCCAATAAAGATGGCCGTTTTTAAGCTCTATTTGAGTGGATCAATTTATTTCGGTTAAACTTCTCAAACATAGGCACTAACCATATAATTTTCCAATTTAGACAATAGATGGATTGTGGAAACAATTGAGTCAAAGATGTCAAAAGAGCATCCAAAGGGGAATTATAAAGGGGTACCTTAGTGTAATCGGCTACTGTGAGATTATTTCTCTGCTTATCGGGAAAATGACCTTTGTTTGCCGATCCAAGGATTCTCACCCACAATTATAAAAAAATTAAATTAGAATACATTAAAAAAGGAGTTAAATCAGATTTTATTTTATTTAAATAATGTAATTAAGTTTGTTTACTTTGATGTGTGACGGGCACTTTGTCACGGTGCGTCAAAATAAATTCAATACTAAACACTTATACGTAGTATAGCGTAGTAGAGTTCGTATCCACAGGGAAAGGAAGAATTCTCTTTTTACGAACTAGTAAATAAAGGGGTTTTTTTGAGATTGAATGATTTAATTTAAAAACTAAGATGAACAACCTATATGTGTTTATTTCAGAGATAAAAGGGACTTGGCATTGCTACTTTCCACTTGTTGATATATTTTAGTCGATCATTGTTATATCTATAACTTATTCCCTCTCGAATACTCAATCGGGGAGTATATCCACTTCATCGAGGGTAGTTATTAACAACAATCGTTCATTAATAACCCTTACTATTAATCAAATATAGAACAACGCCTTATACCGATTTAATAGTAGCATTTAATCTTTCTAACTTTGATGAAATCAATTGAGATTGATAACCTCAACACAAGCGATTTCGGTTTAACCAACAAAATTAATCCCTCTTAAGTTTATTAACCACGACCGTGCATTAATAAACCGAAGTTACTTACTTGTGAAACCATCAACGATTAACCATCAAATCGTTGATCGTTTCTAGTAATAATTAATATATGAAACAAAACTAGTTGATCCTTTAAGTAATGTTCAAAATATTAATATGAAATAAGAGTA